TGCGGTGCGGTGTGGTCTTTACAGCGTTGAGGTTTGAGCCCAGGCCGACTCTCCTTACCTGGGAGCCACCCCCTCAGGGGTAGAGCAGAGCTTTGCTTCTGTTTTCGTGAGTCAGGGCCTCAGGAAGTTGTTGAAGCTGACCTCCAACGTGTGGTCCTCCCGCCTCAGCCTCCTGAGTAGCTGGGACTCCGGTGTGTGGCTGTCCATGAGTACCTGGGGTCTGAGTCACACCAGGACTGTGAGCGCTGGCATCAGCACCAGCCTGGTGGAGGGTGCCACCTGTGGGCTGTGTGGCCCGCGTGGATCACAGGAAGATCACGGCCCAGGCTCCTAGAGGTGCCCCGCCCCCTGCCAGTGTGTGGCCCCACCAAGTCCCCTGGTCTCCTGGTGTCCAGCTCTTGACCATGAAGAGGTCTTGCACCGGGTCCCCAGGCCAAGAGGAGCTGGCCTCCACTGACCAAGCGGCTCTCCTGCGGGGCCGAGGCCGCTGTCCCTCGCCCTGGCCAATCCTGCCCCGAGCTCCCCTTCCCATTTGACACAAAGCCCCAACTTTCCCCCGTGGGAGTCAAGCAACAGAGGGGGGCCCTGTACCCCGGGGCTCAAGGCGGGTCCCCAAACACCTGGGGGGCGGGCTTCACCTGGGATTCCTCAGGAGCAGAGCTTGCCACAGGACTGAGTGCCAGGATGTGTCTGCAAGGTCACCTGGCCAAGGACAGGGGGGGGGCGGTGGGGAGGGCCAGGGAAGTCCAGGCCACTGGGGATCAGTTCCACTGGGGGCCTCCAGGTGGCAGCAGAGGGCAGGGGCGCCGAGGAGGGAGCTGCGTCCTCTCTGGCTGTGGTCACAGTCCAGGCGGCTTCCAGGGGCCACAGAGAGGGGTCTGCGGCCAGACCGCCCTGACCTCGCCCCGTCTCCTCTGAAATGCGTGGGGACGTGGGGAGGTCCCAGCAGCCCCTGCCACACACCAGAAGTGCCTGCATTCCTCTCAGGCAGTTTCAAACAGTGTCGCCTGCTGAATACTCAGTAGCGACCCTTGTGACCCCCTGCCCCCCAGAACCCCGAGGCCCGGAGCTGCAGCTCCGAGGGAAGCCGAGTTCTGAAATGTGGATCCTTCCAGGCTGCAGGGCTGCCTGGGGTCAGGCCCTCCGCTGGCCACTGGGAATGAGGCCCAGGTCCTGGCCTGCGTCAGGGGGACACAGCAGGGTGCTGGAGGAGGAAACTGGACGAAGGCCCCTCTCCAAAAGGACCAAGCGTCCTCATTTCAGTGCCAAGTTAAGGGGAGCAGGGGACTCTCAGGGGGCTCAGGGCTGGGGTTTTTATCAGATGGTGTGGGGTATTTCAAAATTTTAACAACACAGCTGTCCCAGGGTGTCTGAGTTGAGCCAGCCGCCAGCCCAGAGACGTATCAGTCAGGATAGATCAAGTTAAGCTGCAGTAACAAAAAACCCTACCTCTCAGTGGCTTTAATCAACAAAGGTGGTTTGGGGGTTTTCTTCCCCCACACGCGACACAGGGAATTTTCGCCTTCTGTTTACTCACGACCCAGGCTTATGGAATAGCTGCTATCTGGATGTTGCTGGTCACAGGCAGGAGTGACTGTGCTACCTCAGCCACACAGCCCCATCTAACCAGGGGCCAGGAAGTGTAGCCCTGTGTGTGCCTGGAAGGCCTCAAGGCCCTTCCTCCAGTGCCCAGTGACCTCTGTCCTCCTTCTCCAGATCAGGAAATGGAGGCACAGAGAGATCAAGCCACTTGCCCATAGCCACACAGCTCCAGTAGTAGAGCTGGGATTTGAATCGAGAACCTTCCCTCCCTTAGTGGGTGTGCTGTAAGCACAGCAGGGTCCTAACCTCGACTCACCTGGGTGCAGAGCAGGGCCCCCCTTCGGCTGCTGACCTCCTCCAAGTGAAAATGGGTGATGCTCTTTCCCTCTGGGGGCCTTGTGAGGCGCAGTGACGTCCTCTATAGAGCAAGCAGGGCTTGGAGAGCCCTCCCAAGTGTTGGAGAGCGGCCTCAGCCCCAGAGGGCAGCCCCCTCCCCAGCAGAGGAAGGCCAGGCCTGGAGGCCCCGGAGGGGACTCAGCAGAAGCCCTCCAGCAGCCCTAGACTGGCAGCAGGGCCTTTGAGTGGGTGTGACTGTCCCCGGGCACCAGCTGTCCTGCCCCTGCCAGCTGGGGACGGGGGCCTGGAGCCCTTGTTGGCATCTCTGTCTTGTGGGTCCCTGTTCTAGAATTATTTCCGCGATGCCTGGAACATCTTCGACTTTGTGACTGTTCTGGGCAGCATCACAGACATCCTCGTGACCGAGTTTGGGGTAAGTCTCCTGCCGGCTTCTTTCTGGGGTCTCGGGGCTGGACTGGGGGGTGGCATGGTGGGGGGGGGGCGGGTACTGACACTACAGATTCTGGCACCATAGTTGGCTGCGGCCAGTGCTTGGCGGGGACCTCAAGGAGAACCGGGGCCCTGGGGACAGGGCAGCCCTTAGGAGGACAGTGAGGGACATGAGGGCATCCAAAGCCCAGACGTGGGGCCACACTACAGGGTGGGCTTCCCTGCCTCTCCGCCGTGACTGTGAACAAACAATGCGGATAGGTGTGTCAAGGGCCGGAGGCCCCCAGGCTAGCCCATCCGGACACCCAGTGGGGCCAGAGAGACCCCTGCTGTCACTTGACTGCACAGACCCCCTGCGGCTCACAGGCAGGAGGGCACCCCGGTCCTCAGGCCAAGGCAGGGATGACACTCCCGGGGCCCCAGGAGAGTCCCCAGGACACCCACCCTCCTCTGCCCCCGTAGGAGAGGCGGCAGGTCCTTGGTCAGGCCCACGCCCTTCCTTCGTTCCCAGACCCCAGAGGTCCTGCCCAGGCCCTCTCCTTGGCCATTTGCCAGCGAACCCAGGCTTGGGGCCCTCGGGAGATGGTGGGGAGCAGAAGGAGAAGAGTGTGGAGGCGGGGCCGGGTGGGATGGACGGCGCCTAATGACAGTAAAAATAATGCTAACTGCCGAGGACCCGCTGTGCCAAGCATCTCCGTGGACGGGCTCCGCACAGAGAATCCCCCAAGGGGATGTCCTTTCCCTGAAAAGGACAGAGAGGAAGGGAAGGGACTCGGGCCACCAGCTGCCGGCCACCTGGGAGCTGTTACCTGCCCAGGCGCTGAAGTGCGGAGGGGCCACTTCCAAGACCAAAGCCACAGAGCAGCAGGGGCCAGCCCACCGTCCCTCCTGACCCCCCAGGCACCGCCCACTGGCCTAGGCAACCCCGGGGAGTGAAGAGACCCGCCCTGGTGACTCTGGGGAGCACCTTGGCAGCCCCAGGGCGTCCCCACTTGTCACCTAGGAAGGAGATCCTGGGGCCCATCCCCCACCCTCCTTCCAGGAGGCTGCCACAGAGAAGGGGGCGTTGCTGATGGGTCCCGCCCAGCACCCGGGCATCACGGCCACCTCTGTGCCCTCAGCTGCAGTAGAGCCAGGACCCTCCCCAGCCCTGAAGGCTTTCTCTAGAGGAGTCTCCCCCACCTGCAGGCTTCCCCACCAGGACCCCCAGGTGCTCTTCCTTGGCAGAGAGCGAGGGTCTGACCCAGGGCCCCGCCTGGCAGCCATAACAGCTCACCGTGCCACCGAGCGCAGGAGAGCCCGAAACCTTTGTCCCTTTGGGTGAGGAGCTGGGAGGGGCTGCTCAGCTCCCCAGGACAAGTGGAGGAGTTGGTTGAAACTTCCATTTGCCAGTGAGAGGTCTGCAGGGCCGGACGCCCAGCTGTGTGTCCCGTCTGGCCGGAAGGCATAGGAGCCTAGATACTAGGACATCGCAGTAGCCAAGCAGCCCTCTGTACCAGCCACCGGCGTGCGGGCTGCTGTGTCACCTGTGTCCCGTAGAGTGGGCAGAACTGGTGCAACTGATCCCATCAGTTCCTTATATGACTCCCATTCATGCACACATTGAGTGCCTACTGTGTGCCAGGCATGGTAATGATGCTGCAGGGGGAAGGGGGGGTGCAAAGCAAAACAGAGTAGCGGGAGGACACCTGCTCCCAGAGGTGGGGTGTTCTAGGGGGAGCGGCGGCGTTTTTACAGATGAGGACACTCCATGTGAAATGCTTGGCACAGAGTTTCCCAGGAAGTCTCCCTAACGGTGGTTACTATTATTGTTATTGCTGTTGTTGCCGTGCGTACCTGGGCAGTGTGGTAGCCAGCCCTGCATGGTCATATCCTGAGGGGAAGGCTTCAGGGGGTGTCTGGGCCCTGGGGCATGACCAGGTCCCAGCTGTTAGGTCTCAGGGCCCCGCTCTGCCTCCCAGGTAAGGCACCAGGTCTGAGGCCAGAGCCCAGCCACGCTGCAGCGGGGGAGCCAGGCCCCGGGAGGGCAGGTGGGGGGAGGGTGCC